TATCTTTCTGTCAAAAGCAAGTTTGTTGGCTCTCCCTCTCCAATTTTTGGGTTTGGGTATTTTGATATTGATATTGTTGCATACAAATAACGAATTGAAAGAAATTTGCCTAAACTGTTTCGTAAGAAACATTTAAAAATCATTTAGATATAATTGTTTTTATAACAACCAACATCAATTCCCATTCTGGATGTCATTTTAATTTATTCTCATATAGCACGACTTCTGGTCTTTTACTATTTTTGAGAAATCGGGTCCTATTATTTGACGACTTGCTGCTTGGAAAAAATTATACTTTTATGGATTGTTTCAAAATAAGGTGATTTTATCGTATTCTGTGTGAAACGCATTTTGAATATAGTTATCTCTTGAATGAAACTAAAAATATATTGACATTTTTACTCCTCATTGGGATTGAAAATCTATCGAAAATGAAAAAACGAAAGATGTTAAATGTAACTCAAATTGGTACTTTTCGAAATTACTAAAAATTATTAGTAGTAGTTTTTGAAAAATATAATGTACTAGTATGAAGCTGGGATAGATCTCATTCGGTAGACTTTGGGAAAAATCAATTGAGACAAAAGATGATGTGTCTAAACTTATTCAATACTGAGGAAACACCTTTTATGGCTTAAGAGAAACAAGGATTCAGTAGTCGAAATATTGGACACCCGATACCCAAGTTTGTCTGCCTCAAAAAATCATCATGGAGATAACATTCAATTTCGAGCCAAACATAAAACATGCTATTGATGAATCAGCCGCTCCCCATTCAGTCAAACTGGTGATTTTTTACCAGTGGCACCACTACTCTACAAACCTCGATGAAAGATTCATCACTCATTTGAAAAACAGAAATCTCTTGACAAAGTCCATTGACACGAGATATTATACTCCACATAAAACGTTAACAATGCAAATAAATAAATAAATGAATAAATAAGCATGCGACCGATAGGAGTACCAACGAAGATACAACCAGTTCTCCACTCCGAACTCATTCAACTTTATAATGTATCAAACAATATAAAAAAGTACATGAAATAAACAACGGGCTGACTTTGAACTTTAGTTGTCGACAGTGTTGCCAATAAAGCGTAAAATACACAGAATCTGCGTGTTTTCAGTATCTTCATGCGTTTGTTGCGCATCTTGATTTTTTCAGATTTTCTGCGCATTTTGATTTTTGCAGATTTTCTGTGCATTTTATAACCTGTCACTTTTTCTCAGTAGATCATTTTCACCTTAGAGTGCCTCAGGTCCATTACCATCCATTTTGTAATTCGTCCAAATCACTTCTTTCGCTCTAATATGTTCTGTGTACATACACCCATGAAGAAAAGTGAAAAGGACAAAAGATATGGTATAAAATAATATTTGATCTAACAGACTATTTGCTATTTTTGGTTTGGGCCGCAGATCACAATCTAAAACAACGAATAGTTTGTGAGACACCAACCGAACTAATACTTCACACAAACACAGTATCGATTTAGATCAAATCTTCACTATCCACGCAATAAGTAGGGCATTTTATTGCATAAGCCCTGAAATTTTGATTAGAAAACTGGATTCAATTATAAGCGAATCTAGCCAAAACATATTGAATACGGAGTTCCACAAAAGTCAATTTCAGGGCCGATCATGCTCCTGATATTCATTATTGATTTACGTGGACGATACGACATTAAACTACTCGGACAGATACCATCGTCAAAGTCAAACGCTTCCGAAACTGAATGGTTTTTCACAAACCAGTTAATGAATCCAAAAGTGAATATATTATATTCGAACTTCAGCAGGGATATATTTCTATTTAAAATCATCATGGCAAACCTACACAGATTGTGTTTGTAAAAAAATAGCCATAACTTTTTTTTTCTACTAATACCCCGTAGTTTCTTATGTCAATAATCTTCA